TACAAGGATATCGTGTTCAATAAAACAAAATAGTTCATAGTTCATGAGCAATCACCACACATCTTGATATGCAAGCGCACCGTCGAGTCTTTGATTACATAGTTTATTGCCGATTGAAACAGGCCATACGACACATGCAATCCAAGCGGGAGAGAATTATAATGGTACACTCACCACAGTGTTTTGATTGTTGTCACTTAGAGAGATTCAACATCGAGTGGAATCGGTAGGTATGCGTCCGACAAATCGATCTTGGAAAAATACTGGCAACCATGCATTGACTTCATGAAATCCTCTGGTTTCATGGTGGTCGCTGCACATCACCACAATCGGGGATTCAACCTTAGTCGATTGTCTCTACAGATCCCTAGTGTCTTATCATCAATTTTCATCGCCACGACAATCGGCGCTGTCCAGGCACTGGATTCAAATTTGCTTATCACACCATCCTGTTCCATTTTCTGCAACGCTTTCATGACACCTTCCCATTGACCGTATGAGAGAACGCGTCGTTTAAGATAAACAGGTGCACCGTCCACTTCCAACTTTACTGAAGGTACTTCAATGCCACGAACGTTACCGGAACGTTGTACAATCAAATGTTGAAGATGTGAGGTGATTGGCATATCGTTATTGGTATGTAGTGTGATTGATCCTTGTAGTAGCCGCATTGTTCGCAGGCCCAGAATGGACGGACCGTGGGCTGATACCAGGAATGAGATCGGGATTGACACACGGGACTCCGATTGAACGCAAAACATCGTTTTGCCAAGTAATTGCAATTGATGACCGATAGCTCCATGAATACGCACCGAAGTCGGGACTAAAACAGCTTTGGGGTAAACAGCAAGAGTGCTGATTTCGGTGGGATAAATTCGATGCTTCCTATATTCATGATGAATCGATGCTCCACACCAGACTCGAACCTCAGTGGGGCAAACACGAACTTGCTGTTGGGTTCAGTGGTTTGCAGCGTGTAGATTGGACTTGAATTTTCATCTGCCGTTGGGATATGGAAATCGACGAGGTTGAACTTCGGCCTTCGGCACACCTTGCGGATATGACCCATCTTACCGCATGCATGGCAAGTGGCATGACAAAACCAAAAAATCGGTGATATTCACCACAAGAAAAGTAGCGGTTGGTCGCAGCTTTCGGATGTGTTCGGTTTGAACTGGGTACTTGAGGAACCTGGGGTGAATTATG